ACATCAAACCCCACACATTAGTAGTGGGAGATTTCAGCACACCACTCTCACCAAAATACAGATCTACCAGACTGAAACTTAACAGAGAAATAAAGAACCTAACAGATGTTATGGCTCAAATGGACTTAATAGATATCTACAGAACATTCCATCCTAACATAAAAGAATATACCTTCTTATCGCTGGGCAGTGGTGGCACACGCTTTTAATCCCAGCACTTGGGAGGCAGAGGCAGGCAGATCTTTGTGAATTCGAGGCCAGCCTGGTCTACACAGCGAGATCCAGGAAAGGCACAAAGCTACACAAAGAAACCCTGTCTTGAAAAACAAGCAAACAACAAAAAAAGAATATACCTTCTTCTCAGCACCCCATGGAACCTTCTCGAAAACTGTCCACATGCTTGGTCACAAAGCAAATCTCAACAGATACAAAAACATTGGAATAACCTCCTGTCTTTTATCGGACCACCATGCCTTAAAGTTACTGTTTAAAATAACCCTGGACTTTTGAATTGGAACCTGTTTTTATGTTCAAGCTATCTGTGTATTATTTCTCCTGAAGTTGTACATAAAATGTTTTTACATTCAAAAAAAGGACAAATACTATAGAATTGTATTACATGAAATATATAGAATATACAAATTCATAGAGACCGAAAGATTAGACGTTATCTCAAGATGGAGAAGAAAGTAATATAGAGCAATTATTTTCTAAGTATAGAATCTCTGTTTTGAGTGATGGAAAAGCCCCACAAATGGACAGTAGTATCAGGATATAATATCATGAATGTAGTAAATCAATATAATTAATATAACTAATGAATATCATAAATATAATTATTGAATGAATACTGCGAATGTGATCAATGAATACCACAAATGTAATGAATATCACGAGTGTAATTTTAAAAAATTAATTAATTAATTAAAAAAAGAATCTCAAAACGAGCATTCTGGACAAATTAGGTATGTAATATGTTCATTACCATTTGTCTTCAGAGTCAGGAAAGGGGACAGCAGACACAATGGTCATTTGAAAGCAGAGTTACATAGCTAAGGAGACCAACTGATGGCCACGACACCAGCAGAGAGGCATGGGACAGAGATCTCTTCCCAGAACCTCCAGGGACAATGAACCCTGGGACACTCTGATTTCATAAACTTCTTGTTGTTGCAGGGGTGGTAGAGGATTCCTTTCTTGTTGCCAGTTCTTGAGGGGGCAGATGTTCACTAAGATCGGAGCTTACCCTATAGCCAAGGTTGCCCTGGAATTAGCTATGTAGACCAGGCTGGCCGCAAACTAATAATTTCCATTATAAATTTCTGATAACCTGTTACAACAGCCCCCAGGAAACTCATACACATGGTCTAGCCAGGTAAACATTATTGTCAAAACTTATTTCCTTGGAGCTGAGCACGCCTTTAATCCCAGCACTCAGGAGGCAGAGGCAGACAGATCTCTATGAGTTCGAGGCTAGCCTGGTCTACATAGTGGGTTCCAGGGCAGACAGAGCTGCATAGTAGAGAGACCATGTCTCAAACAAAACAAAACTACCCTTCTTTCTTTGTCTTGCCCTGGGAGAAGGAGCGGACAGCAGAGCTACCTGGGTGAAGAACTGCATCATGGACCACAGACAGTGTTTCCGCCTCTGCTCTAACTGGTTCTGCTTTTCAGTCCAGAACCACATCACCTTCTTCTGGTAGTGATCAATTCTGTCCAGCATGGTGAAGAGGTTCTGAGTCTCGTACCCTTTCCCAGTATTTTGGATGGCTCTTAATCGTTTGATTATGTTGTTTCTTGAAAAAAAAAAATGAAGAATTAGATCCATACAGTTCTTAAACCTACCTTAGCAAACCTGACTTCTGTTTCTTTCCATTCTGCTCTCATTCTGAGTTACTAGGAGGTATGAAAAGGGGTGGGAGACTTGTTTAGTGAAGTCTTTATCTAATTCTCATGTAAGAATAAATTTCTGCCGGGTGGTAGGTAGCACACGCCTTTAATCCCAGCACTTGGGAGGCAGAGGCAGGCAGATCTCTGTGAGTTCGAGGCCAGCCTGGTCTACAGAGCGAGATCTGGGACAGGCACCAAAGCTACATAAAGAAACCCCGTCTCAAAAAATAAATAAATAAATAAATTTCTGAGTGGATTGGTAGTGGTGGTGCAAACAAAAACTATACATTTTTATTTAAAAAAATGAACAAAAGCTATAAATTTCTGTAGACTAGGCTGGCCTTGAACTCATGGAGATCCACCAGGCTCTGCCTCCCAAGTGCTGGGATTAAAGGCAGGTGTCACACCTGCCTGGCTTAAAATTATTTTCTAATATTGGAATGTGAGAGGACTATCTGGGCAAGGTGGCTGTTTTCCCAGTACTGAAGACTGCAAGGCAAGAGGGTTGTCATGAATTTGAGGCCAGCATGGACTACATAGTGAGTATATGCCATACTAGACTACAGGAGACCCTGTCTCAACAACAAAAACAAACAAACAAAAAACTCAAAGAATTTATAGTAGACATACATTTAAATTCCCTCAGTAGAGGGAAAGAGACTATTTTACAGGTAGTGATCAAGTAACTAGGCAAGAAAAAATAAAAATAAATAAAATTAAAAACAAAAAACACAAACAAACAAAAAAAAAAACACCCAGATCTCATAGCAGAGAGGTGTGAGCCAAAGACTTACATGCAAGGAAAACAAACTGAGAAAGGTTGGTTTGGTTGGTTGGTTGGTTTTTTGAGACAGGGTTCTCAGCCCTGAATCCTCAATGTACACACTCCATCTGCCTCCAGCTCCCAAGCAGTCGAGTTACAAGCATGTACGACCACAGCTGACTTCCTTTTCTGGCCTTAACCCTCCATCCCGCAGATCCTTAAGGAGAGGATCTTTACAGCACATGATCTGGGGCTGGAGCAGTGACTCGGCGGTTAAGAGCAGTTTCTGCTCGGCCAGAGAACTCGGGTTTGATTCCTAGCACTCACATCGTAGCTCACAACGGACTGCAAGTCCAGTTTCAGGAGATCCAACATCCTCTTTGAGCACAGGCACACACACAGTAGATAGGCATGCCAACGAAATGCCCATGCACATAAAAAAACTAAAAATATTTAGAGCGCATGGCCTGATAAACATGAAAATTCTAGGCAGTGATGGACAATGGTGTTCAACGCAAGGACTTTATCAGAAAATGGTTCTGTATAATCATTATACCCACCTGGCAAGCTGGATCAGCCTATAGGCAAGATACTTGCGGGACAGATACCCCAGCCGAACTGTATTCATGTGGAGTAATTCAATTATGAGATTCCTGGCAATTGTGTGGTACTGTGAAGGGAGTCCAGCAGTTTGTGCAGCGTGATTTAATATAGCCAGGTTCTTCCTTTGAGCCTCCACATCGACAAAGTATCTGTCTTCATGCTGCTGGGCAGTGACGGGGGACCCCACCATCTTGGTTTTCCTAGTGCCAGGAACTGGGGATAATATCCAGGGCTCGTCTATTGGGGGGAGCCGTGGTCTTTGGCCCCTGTCAGAAGGTGTGATCTGTGGTGTTTGGGAGAGCTGAGTGGTCAGAGATGGTAGTGATGCTATAGATTTCTCCCGAGCGGAAGGTGCTTTCTCACCAATGTGATGGGACTTTGATCTTGGTATCCTAGAACTAGTGACATAAGGCTGAAACATTCCAAGTGATCTCATGTCGGGAGAATCTTGGAGTACCCGAGCTTCTTCGAAAATGTCAGAAAACTTAGACATTTGCATCTTCTCCATAGGGAAGGGAGCCGGAGAGACCTCAAAGCCCAGAGCAGCACTCGGGTGAGCTCTGATTGATTCAGGTTTTGGAGGGGAAACAGCTACTGGCCTTTTCTGAGAGACTGAAGAGGGAGAAATTCTCTGAGGTCTTCCAGGGACTGGGAAAGCCTCTGCTGAGACAGGAGTTCTTACAGCGAATCCTTGCTCAGCAATGATCAGTGATGGCTTTGGCTGTCCGGGGGTAGAGTAGGTCTGCATGTAGGGAGTTTGGCCATGGATGGCCGGAGGCTGGAAGGGGACAGCAGAGCCTCCAGGAACAAAGAGACCTGGAATCTCTCCAGAGGTTGGTGGGGCTCCAGATCCTAGAGGTGGTGTCGGCCTTCTGTGGGTGAGGCGAGTTTCCGGCATTAGAGGTGACCCGGTGTCCCCAGGTTTGAAGGGATGCCAGTGACCGAGGGGCAGCCCTGGAGTGGAAGGGACTTCTGGTGTTAGAAGCTGTGTGGGAGTGACTTGACCTCTGTCTGCTAGAATCTGTCTGTAGGTGGGAGAGACGCGTGTTTCTTCAAGCTTCTCAGAGTCAGGAAGAAAGCTCGTTGCTAGGCTCGTCCTAGGGGAGGAAGGGGCTTGAGAAGACTTCAGTTTCTGCAATGCAATAGATGTAGGAAGCTGTCTGTCAGGGGAAGGAACCAATGCAGCCGGCGGTGCGGTTAAAAGCCCCCAGGTCCAGGCCAGTTCTTCAGTGAGTGCGTCTTCTAATGCTGCCACCTGCTCAGAGGTGAGGGTGATAGATGCTGCCTGAGTTTGTTCCTGGGTGAAAGTGACACCCAAATTCTGGGCTTTCTCAAGTGCTATAGTGAACGTTAGCGTTTGTATCTCTCCTGGACCAAACTGGCCCGGCAACGGGGCCTGCCTGGATGTGAGGGGAGGCTGCAATGCCTGGGCTTGCTGGAATGCCTGGGTCTGCCCTGGCCTGAGAGTGATGCCCGATGCTTTGCCCTGTCCCTGTGGAAGTGGAATTCCAAATGCTGGGGACAGTTGAGGAGTTAGTGGGATTTCAATTGTCTGGGTCTGTTTAGAGGCAACCGCTGGTTTAGGTGTCTGGATAGACTCGGGGGTAACAGGGACTTTCAGAGTTTGGATTCGCTCTGTAGTAGGGCCGCCCCTTAGTGCTGCAGCCTGTTCATAGGTTAAAGGAGCCTCCAACTCCTGGAATTTCTTCAGAGGAGAAATACCCCGTGTCTGGAACCGTGAAGAAGTGAAACGAATCCCCAGGGCCTGGGCCTGCCCAGGGGTGAGAGTAATCCCGAGGGCTTCTGCCTGCCCAGGGGTCAGGCTGATTCTGTGTGCCTTGGCCTGCTCAGTGGTGAGAGTGAGCCCCAGGGCCTGGGCCTGCTCAGGGGTCAGACTGATCCTCCATCCCTTGGCCTGCTCAGGGGTGAAAGAGACTCCCAGGGCCCGTGCCTGCTCAGGAGTCAGACATATCCTCTGTACCTTGGCTTGCCTAGAGGTAAGAGTGAGTCCCAGCTCCCGGGCCTGCTGTGCACTGAGAGAGATCCCCAAGTTGTGGGTCTGCTCAGGGGGGGGACTGATCTCCAGGGCCAAGGCCTGCACCCTGGTCAAGCTGACCTCTTTTTCCTTACCTGGCTCAGGGATAAGAGTGATTCCCGAAGCTGCTGTCTGCTTAAGGGTAGGAGCTACCCCCAGGGCCTGGGCCTGTTGGAGGGAGAGTGTGATCCCCAGGACCTGGGCCTGCTCAGTGGTCAGACTGATTCTCTGTGCCTTGGTCTGCTCCAGGGTGAGAGTGATCCCCAGGACTTGGGCCTGCTGAGGGGTCAAACTGATCTTCACTGTCTTGGCTTGCTCAGGTGTAAGATTGATGCCCAGAGCTTGAGCCTGCTTAGGGGTGAGAAAGATCTTCTGTATCCGGGCCTGCTGTGGGGTAAGTGTGAGCCCCAGGGCCTGGGCCTCCTCTGGACTGAGGCTGATCTCCTGTGGTTGAGCTAGTTTGGGAATGAGAGTAATCCCCAGGGCCTGGGCCTGCTCAGAGGTGATTGCTATCCCCAGGGCCTGGGCCCGCTCAGGGGTCAAACGGACCCTCTGAGTCTTGATCTGCTGAGGGGTGAGAGTGAGCCCCAGGGCCTGGGCCTGCTGAGGAGTGAGAATTATCCCCTGTGCTTTGGCCTGGTCAGAGGTAAGAGCCATCCCAAGAGCCTGGCCTTGCTGGGGAGTCAGACTGATCCCCTGAACCTTGACCTGCTGAGGGGTGAGAGCAATCCCCAGGTCCTCGGCCTCCTCTG